AGGGGGAGGAAGGCCTGAAAAATATGGAAAGCAGCAGTGCTCGGCCCATCGCACACGCCAACTGCGCATGCAGAGCGGCCCCGCGTTACGCTCGGCTGCGTCGGCTCAGCACGATACTGCTCAGTCCTGCTGCCCCGCTCTGCTTCAGCAACTGATTCTGTGTCCGTTCTGCTCGCCGGCGTATGCATATAGATATATAACATGGATATCACCTATATATCAGGGTCTCGGGGACCTCAGCCACAACCCGTCCTGCCTCGCAAGCTGCCCAGGGCAGGTGGCCACGGGGAACATTGGCTTGCGGAGCCCACGGGCAACGCGGTGGCGCTGGGTGCTGTGGGAGCCACACGGGCGCGCGCCGGCGGGAGAGGAAAACCCGGCGCGCTTTGCGTTCAGCTGGAAATAATGGGATTACAGGCGGCTGCGGGTTTCCGCCTGCTATTTTGGGTGCACGGGGTTTTTCACAAGCGCTGAACGGACGAAAGGCTGGGGAGTCGCAGGGGGCTGGACACGGGGGTTACCTTCAGGCTCGGGGAAGGTAAGTGGCAAACGTGTCCCTGTGCACGTGGCTCTGGCCGCTCAGGTGGCCCCGGGCGGCTGTGCATGGGGCCGATGCGAGACTGCCATGAAAAGCTCTCTTGTTCTGCAGTGTCCTGGCGCTGGGGCTGCCAGCGGCAGCGCGGCCGCAGGAACGGATCCGTGGGGCTGTGGCTTTCCCAGGAGGAAGGAGGGCAGGGATCCCCCCCGGCTGCGGGTGCTGACCGCTCTCTCTCGCCGCGCAGGGGCACCGTGAGGGCTCACCGCCGCGATGCCGCTGGTGAAGAGGAGCATCGAGCCCCGGCACCTGTGCCGGGGGGCTCTGCCCGAGGGGGTGACGAGCGAGCTCGAGTGCGTCACCAACAGCACGCTGGCCGCCATCATCAAGCAGCTGGGCAGCCTCAGTAAGTGCGGCGGCGCGGCAAGCCCAGCCCGCTCGCGCCCAGGCGGCGCTGGAGCCACCGCGATGGGAGCGGGATGCAGCAGCGTGGGATGAGCCAGTATGTGTGGTCCTTCCCGGGTGGCTCTGTGCCGCCAGGCTCGAGGCTTTGGGAAATAGGCAGACCAGATAGTTGCTAAGAGAAACCCCCTTCTCAGGGCAATCTTACAGCCAAATCCCTGTTTGCCATAGGAAATATCAACCCCTAAAAAGAGCAGGAAAGCTTGGGCACTAATTTTTGTAATTCTGTAAAAATCCTCCTACAAGAGGAAGGAAATGTTAACTATGAGGGAGAGGGGAGGAGTTGTGCATCTGTTGACCTGGAATCTTGATTAAACAAAAGAAGGAGCAAAGCCATTCGCGCACAGGAAAGGCAAGGAGGGAGAGTGACGTGCTGGGGCAGCCCTGGCAGGGTGACGTCCTCAGGGCACCTTCAGAACCGCTTTGAATGGGATAATCCCAGATCTCGTGAGTCACCTGGAGTCTTTCATAGGAAACCTCCCCGCGGGTTTATTCTCTCCCCTTCCCAGACCCAAGCTAAGCTCACTGCTCTGACGGTCAAAACGTCCAGGGGATCATGCAGGATCAGGGAGGCTTCACCCCACAAAGGGCTGAGGCTCCAGAAGAAGAGAACATAGGTGGGGAGATGACGTCCAGGGGGAAAGGAAATCAAACCCATACCAGATGAGCAGGCAACAGGCCATGTGCCTGTGTTTCTCCCATGTCTGCTTGTCCTGGCATGTCCAGGAACCATGTCCTCTTGTATGCAAAGCACCTTGATCTTGGGAACGTTTTAATATACTTTTTTTGGGAGGAAACCCCTAATAGCTCTGGCTGCTCCCATAGCAGCATTGTGTTAACACCATTTCTTGGCAAAGTGGAGCTCAGCACACATGGCTGTAGCCTGCAGATGTCAGCAGTGCAAAGGGAAGCGATGTTATCTGCCCTTCCCATGGGGAAAAGCAACGGTGAAATGCAGTTTGATCTGCAGAAAATATCTGGGAAATGCAATTGGGAAGAGATGGGGAGTTTGGGCTTCTCCCGGAACGTGCTCGTGCTTAGCACACAGGGGATGCAGCCTCTGTGGCCTTGCTGATGCCTTGGCCCCTTCCCTTCGTGCTCGGCCCGCAGGCAGGCACGCTGAGGACATCTTTGGGGAGCTCTTCAATGAAGCCAACAGTTTCTACATGCGGATGAACTCGCTGCAGGAGAGGGTGGATCTGCTGGTGATCAAGGTGACACAGCTGGACTCCACCGTGGAGGAAGGTGAGGAGCTGCTGGGTGGATCTCGGCCAGGCGGGTAGGGCCATGCTGGGCAGCGGTTTCATTTTAACTTTGCCTGACGGAAGCAGAAGAGGAGGTGGTGAAAAGCACATCCCCGTCAGACGGGCAGCGTGAGCCCTGCATGGGGCATGGACTTGTTTTGAGAGGACACTTTTGGGTTAGAAATAACGGATATCAGCCTTGGTTCTGCATAGCGAGAGGGAGGACACTGTGCACACAGGCTTCCAGCTGTGTGTGGGTGCCATGGGCTCAGCGCTGGGATCAGGGGCCGGTGCTACACCCAGGAGTGGTGCCCAAATGTAGCACCGTGTTAAAGCCATGGTGTACCTGCTGACCATGTCTCCTTCCCATGTCCCCAGTTTCACTGCAAGACATCAACATGCGCAAAGCATTCAAGAGCTCCACAGTGCAGAACCAGCAGGTCGTGTCTCGCAACTCCATCCCCAACCCAGTGATGGAGATGTATCAGCGGTGCGACAAACCCCCGCCGCTCAACATCCTCACACCTTACAGGTAAGGGCAGGCCACAGCACTGCTCAGCCTCCCCACGCTCCCTTGGCCCGTGCTGACTCTGGCGAGGTGGTGACGGAGAGCCATGGGGTATCTGCAGTCATTTCTAGGAGAGAAATTTTCACCTTGGCTTCATGTTGCTGTGCCACAGCCTCTACTGTATAACAAGTGACCTTGCATTCATGGGTTCCTCACAGCTTATAGCTCTGATCGTGTCCAAACCTTACTCTTCAGTGGAAAGGAAGGTCTTCTCCAGAAAATGATGGGGTCTTCTTGGTTACTGGATCAGCTGGTGAGCCCATATTGCCCAGCAAAACCACTCAGATGTCCCTCCAGTGGCCTCTATGTAAAGCCTGGGCTCGGCCACGTTGCAGGAGATGAAATGAGTGAGTGTGGTGTACATGGGGAAGAGCTACTGGGGAGGACTGTGGGTTGGCAGTGGTAACAAGTGAGAAGGGCAAGGAACTGAGCTGCTGAATTTCCCAAATACTGGATCTATTGTGCATCACTATAGATAGCACTGAAATTCCCCTAAGGTTGCCTCCTGTGGCTAACAACTCCCTCCGTTCCTCCCCAAATACCTCCAGGGATGACAAGAAGGATGGCCTCAAATTCTATACTGACCCCTCCTATTTCTTCAACTTATGGAAAGAGAAGATGTTGCAGGCAACTGAAGATAAGAGGAAACGGAAGATAGGAGAAAGGGGAACGGCAGGCAGAAGGTAAAGGGCACAGAGGGTCCTCAGTAGGACTGGAAATTAGGCTAACCATGAATTAGATAATTCTACTTGGAGTTTCTCCTGTGCTCTTCCTGCTCCTGGAGTGGGTATGTCTCCATGGTGCCTCTTGCCATAAACCCTGTGTTGCCAGACTGACTCTGAAGGGTCATTTGCTAGTGCTGAGGGTTGCAACCTCTGCGTTAGTCATGGTCTGAAGGAGCTGAATGGAGGTGGAGCTCCAAAAATGCTGTTTGGGATTTCCCTAGTGACCAGTCCAGGCCTGTGATTTCTATGAAGTTTCCTGGTTTGTTCCTAGCACCTATTTCTCATAATGCTGAATCTCATGGTATCCCACTGACACCTGCAGTGCTCTTCCTTTTTGGATTTATGCCCACTGCCTGGCATAGCCCTGACTAAAAGACCCAGGAGAGCTTGGGCCCTGAGCAGACATGAGGGAGGAAATCTGGGGTTTCTGTCAAACTAGCAGAGCCCTCTCATGCATATGTATATTGCAGGGTGTTTAAGGAGACCAGGGATGTGTTCAAAGACACTTTTCTTCTGAACAATTTCCTCACATGTGATGTTCCCACTTCTTGTCCCATTTTGCCTGGTTAGGGCCTACCTGAGGTCTCTATGATTGAGGTGTAGGCCCAAGTCTGCAGGGAAGAGGTAGCATGTCAGCAGTATGACCCAGGCTTCCAAATCTGCAGGTGTGTTTGACCCATGCATGGGCTGCAGTAGGTCTCTGGTTGTATCCAAAGCAACAAATCCATCACATCTAGCAAGGTCGATGAGATATCTACTTGATTTGTGCAAACTCCCAGATGTCTGTGCTTCCAGCTTTCCCATGCCAGCTTTACAGCTCTGCTCCTGCCCCATCCCATTGGACTAGAGAACATATTCTAAGCAAGTGCTGGTGGTGCCCATGGGCTCAGTGTCTGGGCAAGATTCATGGGTTCCTCACAGCTTATAGCTCTGATCGTGAAGGTACCTTACTCTTCAGTGGAAAGGAAGGTCTTCTCCAGAAAATGATGGGGTCTTCTTGGTTACTGGATCAGCTGGTGAGCCCATATTGCCCAGCAAAACCACTCAGATGTCCCTCCAGTGGCCTCTATGTAAAGCCTGGGCTCGGCCACGTTGCAGGAGATGAAATGAGTGAGTGTGGTGTACATGGGGAAGAGCTACTGGGGAGGACTGTGGGTTGGCAGTGGTAACAAGTGAGAAGGGCAAGGAACTGAGCTGCTGAATTTCCCAAATACTGGATCTATTGTGCATCACTATAGATAGCACTGAAATTCCCCTAAGGTTGCCTCCTGTGGCTAACAACTCCCTCCGTTCCTCCCCAAATACCTCCAGGGATGACAAGAAGGATGGCCTCAAATTCTATACTGACCCCTCCTATTTCTTCAACTTATGGAAAGAGAAGATGTTGCAGGCAACTGAAGATAAGAGAAAGGAGAAGCGCAGACAGAAGGTAAAGGGCACAGAGGGTCCTCAGTAGGACTGGAAATTAGGCTAACCATGAATTAGATAATTCTACTTGGAGTTTCTCCTGTGCTCTTCCTGCTCCTGGGGTGGGTATGTCTCCATGGTGCCTCTGTTGCCATAAACCCTGTGTTGCCAGACTGACTCTGAAGGGTCATTTGCTAGTGCTGAGGGTTGCAACCTCTGCGTTAGTCATGGTCTGAAGGAGCTGAATGGAGGTGGAGCTCCAAAAATGCTGTTTGGGATTTCCCTAGTGACCAGTCCAGGCCTGTGATCTCTATGAAGTTTCCTGGTTTGTTCCTAGCACCTATTTCTCATAATGCTGAATCTCATGGTATCCCACTGACACCTGCAGTGCTCTTCCTTTTTGGATTTATGCCCACTGCCTGGCATAGCCCTGACTAAAAGACCCAGGAGAGCTTGGGCCCTGAGCAGACATGAGGGAGGAAATCTGGGGTTTCTGTCAAACTAGCAGAGCCCTCTCATGCATATGTATATTGCAGGGTGTTTAAGGAGACCAGGGATGTGTTCAAAGACACTTTTCTTCTGAACAATTTCCTCACATGTGATGTTCCCACTTCTTGTCCCATTTTGCCTGGTTAGGGCCTACCTGAGGTCTCTATGATTGAGGTGTAGGCCCAAGTCTGCAGGGAAGAGGTAGCATGTCAGCAGTATGACCCAGGCTTCCAAATCTGCAGGTGTGTTTGACCCATGCATGGGCTGCAGTAGGTCTCTGGTTGTATCCAAAGCAACAAATCCATCACATCTAGCAAGGTCGATGAGATATCTACTTGATTTGTGCAAACTCCCAGATGTCTGTGCTTCCAGCTTTCCCATGCCAGCTTTACAGCTCTGCTCCTGCCCCATCCCATTGGACTAGAGAACATATTCTAAGCAAGTGCTGGTGGTGCCCATGGGCTCAGTGTCTGGGCAAGGACCATTCCTGATGCTCTTTCTCATACCCAGTGGCCAGCACTTGGCAGAGTGTGTCCCCCCAAGTCCAGACATGCAGTGTCCCCTTGCAGCTCACACGGCGCTGTGTGCAGATCAGCCTGCACGGCTGCAGGCGTGCTAATGGACTTCCTTGTCTGCCTCCAGGAACAGCGGTTAGTAGAAGATTCCACCCGGGAGGTGAAGAAAGTGAGGAAAGCCCGTAACCGGCGCCTGGAGTGGAACATGATGGCGTATGATAAAGAGTTTCGACCGGATAACAGGTTCTCACCATCCCCATATCACATGGCCTCATCGGAAGGATCACTGTCCCCAGATAATAGGCAGGTTTTACCTATTACACATTTAGCTCACTGGATCTTCTTTGCTTTTCTTCACTTTTCTTTTTTCTTCTCAGTCCTTGGGTGGTCAGGTAGTGCAGGTCATAGAAGGGCTGATAGGTTAGCAAACAAGGCTATGGCAATAAACCATAGGCCCACACAGTTTCAAATCCAGCACCCTTCCCTCTGCCTTCTGGGATGGTGTCCTGGCCTCAGGAGCCAGCCTTGGTGCTGAGATCTCCATGGAGAGAGAAAGTCAGAGCACTTTTCATTTAGGAGCTTTGGGAAGATGTCAACCCAGATTTGCAACAGCGAGAGACTAGTCCAGCTTTGTTGATGTCTTCCTACCCTCTGCTATCTCGGTGCTTTCTTGCATGTCTGTATTTCTGTGGCCACCCTCCATGTTCTGTTGCCCTGGCCCCAGATGCCAGCCGGTGCCCCATCATGTCACCCCAAGCTCTCCACACCTTCCCTCCCAGCCAGCCCTCCCTCCAGGAGAACAACCCTTGGTGTTTCTGTGTGCCACAGATCTTATGCGTCCGATGCTGCCGATCACTCATATCCCGCCAGCCCTAACCACCCCGCGCAGCAGATGCTCGCCCCGGCGTCCCACCTGGCGGCAGACACCAAGGAGGCTGCCCTCGTGGCTAACCAGACCCAGGAGCATGTCTACAGACCCTCAGCGGCGGGAAGCCGCCAGAACAGCCTCAATCGTATCCAGCAGCCCCATGTGCCGCAGCCTCCGGAAGCTATATTAAACGGACCAAGGCCTCACTTAGTCAAGGATTATGGGTATGGACTTCAATCTCTTTTATTCTGAGCCTTGTCCTGCCCCGTTCAGTAGCTGTCAGTGATCTGCAGAGCTGGTGGGTTGGCAGGGCTAGGGGAGCAACAGTGCCTGTCTCAGCCCTCCTGCAGGAGACAAACAGGCTGAGTCCTCCCAGTCCCACCAGCGCTCAGCTCGCCATGCCCAGCAAACCCAGCAGCCACCCCAGAGAGGCATGGCGGGAGGCGGGTCCATTCCTAGGGCACCACAAGGAGTTTGGCTCATGGCAGCAGTAGGACTTGCCCAGTGCAACTCCCAGCAGCTGCTCGAGACCTGCTCTGCAGCTGGCACCACCTTAAACTGTTGATACGTGAGTCAGAGCTGTGGCAGTGGGGGCAGATCAGTGGTGATCACTCTTTTGGGTATCTCCATGTCTGGGGCAAAGCCGAGGGGAGCGCTTCACCCTGACAAGATGAGGGGAAGGCAGGCAGAGGCGAGCATTTTTGTCTGGGACATTGGTGTCCCCATGGTGTCCCATACCCCTTTGTGCAGGCAACCTTCCCCACTTTCCCTCCTGGGAGTCAGAAGCAAGCCATGGCAGCAGGAGGGCCCATGCGGGCACATAGCAGTGGCTCCCGGCCCCCGCCCGCAGAAA